CCCCCCCGGGGAGTAGCCTCCGGGAGAGCGGCTCCCCGGCTGCCCCCTGCTCGCTCTGCCAGAGGCCCTCGCCCTGAAGCTCCCGCTGCTCCCAGAACTCGAAGAGCCGCGCTGGTTATGGGGGGAGGGGGACGTGGAGACCCTGGGGGTTTGGGGGTCGGAAGGTTGGGAGGGCGAGAAGAGGGCGTCCGACCGGCGGCCCCTGCCCTGGACTTGTCCCTCTTGTCCATCTCGCACCTGATGAGGAGACAGACCGATCAGCATCCCAGGTCTTGGACAGCTACGCTGCCTGCAGGGATCTGGGTCCTGGCACCTCTCGGCTCTTTCCCCAGCGTCGCCACCCATGCGCGCCCAAACCTCTGCCTGGATCCACTTCCTCGTCACCCACCCACCACTCACCAGCGCAGCTGCTCATGGTTGTCCCCAAGTCCCACCCGCACCGCCTTCCTCCAGGCCATGCCAGCCTCAGCCAACCCCCTGCTCCCTCTCAGGACCGGAGATCCATCCCCCCACCCCTCGCCCCCTCAGGGACCCTGACCACCAGCGTCGGGACAGGGGGCTGCCACAGGTTCCAGATGAAGGGGACGGGAGCACACGCCCAGGTCCCCCCTCGCCAGCCACCAGCGCCGTCCCGGAGGGATGTCGGCACCTGCCGGGAGGAGGAGCGGCCCTTGCTGCCCGCGCACGGGCTCAGGGAGACAAAGAGCCGCGTCCCGAGCCCTTCCCCTCCCCCAGCTGGGCCCTGGTCCGCGCCACCCTTCCACCTGCTCGAGCCGAGCTCACCTTGGGCTCCGGCCTCCCGCCGCTCCACGCTGGGTCGCCTGGGGGGGGGCAGGGGGGGAGCGCCGCGGCGGCCGCGAGCGGAGGGCAGGCGAGGGGAGGGGGCGGCGGGCGGCAGCGCGGGGAGGCCGGCCGGCCCCTCGGCGGCGGGCGGGGGAGCAGGGGCCGCGCGCGCTGGATGCAGACCCGTCAGGCAGAGGCGGGAGCGCGCCGAGTAGGGCGGCCGGGAGCGCGTAGGAGGGAGGGGCTGCTTCTCCGCGGCTGCGCCTGAGGACCCCAGACACCCAACCGGTCGGGCTTCGGGGGGAATCTCTTGGGGTCCCGAACTCAGCGTAACCTCCTCTCCCCACCCCCTGCCATACACACCTGCCCCGGCCCCCACCCCAACTACTTGGCGACCAAGGCCCGCCTGGACGCGGATAGGTTGGGCCCTGGCAACCAGGGGGCGGGACCATCGCGCCTCGTGCCCAATTGACCAATCCGGCCGCTCGGTGTCCCAGGCCCTGTCCTCGCTTTTACGACCGCAGAGGCAGGCCCCCCAGGATTCTTGGGGCTTCCGCCCCTCTCATACCCAAAGGGTTTTCACAGACCCCAGGAAACCCCGTACCTGGTTGGGGTAGGGGGACTGGTGGGAGAATGCAGCCCTGGGAATGTACGGGTAGACCCCAGATTTGGGGGAAGAGAGGAAGAAAGGACAGGAGCGAGAGACGGAGGATGGTGAGAGATGACCCAGCCTTCTGCAGGGCAGAGCACCCCCCCACTGGACACCCTCCCAGGTCACACGAAGTCAAGTCAGCAAAGGCTTCCTGGCAGAGCCGGGCTTTGTGGGGATGAGATTATGGGGGGCCTGGAGGTGTAAAAACGGGTGCAAGAGGAGCCGAGAAGATCCCGTCTGAGGTTTCCCAGCCCAACCTGAGGGAGTACGAGGTGTCATTTTGGCGACCCGCCAAACTGGTGCAGAGGCCTCATGGAGGACCTTGATAGGGGACTGTGGCATTGAGGGGGTTGAAGCAAGAAGAGGAAGATGGCCATCCTCAGCTGCCCAGAGCTGGCCAACAGTGCCAGGTGCCCTCTTGCACCTCTGCTTGTACTCAAGGCCACATGGCTCCCCACACACACTGTGCTCTCTGCCCCCAAGCCCCATCTCTTCAGACTCTTAGTCACTCACTACCCCATCCCAAAGAACCAGCTCCCTCTGCCTCCCCCCTCCCCCCATCACATTTGTACATACATACACACACACAGAGTATCCACCGTATGATTCCATTTATATAATCTGGAAAACACAAGCTAATCTATAGTGACAGAAAGCAAATCAGTGGTTGTTGGGGACCACTAGGGGAGGGAAACTTTTGAACCACCAGTTGAAGCCACTCTGATTGATTCCTGACCCTCAGAAACTATGTGAGACAATAAATTCTTGTTGTCTTAAGGTGCTAGGTTTGGGGGCCATTTGTTACACAGCACAGTAACATGTAACTACCTCAGGCTCACAAAACCTTAAAAGCTGTAAAATATCAAGTGTTGGTGAGAATGTGGAGAAATTGGAACAGTTGTGTACTGTTGGTGGGAATGTAAAATGGTGCAACCACTGTGATTCCTCTTATATGGGGTTCCCAGAGGATTCAAATTCATAGAGATGGATGGTAGAATGGTGGGTGCCAGGAGCTAGGGAGAGGAGTGAGGAATATGAGTTCAATGGGGACAGAGTTTCAGTTCTGCAAAACAAAAAAGTTCTGAATATGGATGGTGGCGATGGTTGCCCAACACTGAATGTACTTAATGGCACTGAACTGTAAACTTAAAAATGGTTAGGATGACAAATTCTATGTTATGTGTGTGCTCTACCACAACTGTTTAAAACCTGGACAGTGTCTATGCGGGAAAACTCACAAACTACCTGTGGGAATGTAAAGGGGGCAGGCTTTCTGGAGGACAACTGGAAAGCATTGTATGCGTGTCATATGACTGAGACATTCCACTCAAGCGTCTGTACCTGTGGCAGTGCCATACAGCTCCTTCCATATCTCCTGAGCACCCACAGTCCCCACCTGCAGGAAAGTCAGAAGTGTCAGGGCCTTAACACTCCCTCCATTCCCCTCTCTAGAGCAGCCCTCAGCCACAACAGGCAGGAGCGGGTACATCAATGCTTCAACTCCCTCACCTCTTGGGCGGGAAAACTTGGAGGTGTGTCCTCCACCATCTCCCAGAGCTCCCCAGCACAATGGAACCCCAGTTGCCCATATTGGCAGCCTGCTCCTTCACCCTCATTAACACTACTGGCTTGTTTCCCTTCCCCACTGCCTCACCTTCCAGAGAAACTATTTGCATCTAATTCCTTGCCTCAGCATCTGCATCTAGAAGGGCCTGAACTAAGCATCCATCCGTCCATCATTTACTGAATGCCCACTGTGTGCCAGGCACCATCCCAAGTGCTGGGGACACAGTAGGGAACAGAAGAGATACGTGTCTGGGGATCATGGGGCTTCAATTCCAGTCACCACAGAGACTCTTGCACAAGTGTGCAAAGCGTCGTTTATGAAAACGCTTATCCCAACATAAAGCTGGAAACAAACCGCCAGGGTATGGATCTCAAGGAGCTTCTCCCGAGGCTAGAGGAAAGGGAGAAACTATTCACCTCAAAAGGCCCCTGCCCCCTTGCTACCACTTCACCTCACCCTACTTTGTTATATACACAGCATTTGTCACAAAGACATTACCTTGTTCCTTACTTATTTGCTTTCTTATCTCTGTCTCCTCCGCCAACCGCACTCCACCCCCAATCCACACACACACCAATAGAGCAGAAGCTCTGAGAGAGAAGGTAACCTCGCTTATCTTGTCCACACGATGAAGGTTTGCCTTTGGGTAGCCTGTGGTCGAGTCCCTGGGGTCGCACCCATTACAGGGTTTCACAGGGGAACCTAAGCTTAGGGGATCCCAACCCTCAAGGTTTCCGAGCGTCTCTACTCTGGTGAACTTGCTTTCTTTTTCCCATGGGAGATGGGAGTCTCACTCTGCCACCTGGTCCAGGTCCCCTCTCCCTTGAGTTTTGCAGACAGGGCAGATCAAGGTCAACTGTCGCCTAAGACCCAGCTCAGGCCTCCCAAAGTGGGGAGGAAATCGTGGTGCGGGGGGAGGCAGAGTCTCCCTTTGAGAAGCCGGCCTTCCAGACTGGACTCCAACCCCGGCTCCCAGAGCCCTCTGACCCCCGTGCCCAGCCCCACCAGGACCCGGGAGCGGCTCACTCCCTCTCCTCATCCAGTGGAGAGCTTCCCCTGGCTGGGTGGTCAGAGCAGGAAGGGGGAAGCGCCATGCCCTGTCTTGGGCCCTGGTCACTGATTCCTTGGTTTGAGCCGCCAGGCCAGGTAGCTGCACCTGGGAGTGAAGGGAGGAGGGAAGGGAAGGGAAGGAGGACTTCCACGCGCTCCTGACAGCGTCTATGCAGCTGGGCTCCCGGAAGCGTGCCTTCAGGTCGGCTTCGGGAGCCCAGCGCCTCCAGCCCTCCTCAGTCTCCCCCGTGCCAGGTTTGCCCCACTGAAGTGGAGCCCAGAATTCTACGGTCCCTGCTCCTCCGACCAGCCCCTCGCCCACCTCGGAGACGTCAGGATCAGGATCGCTCTCCCCCCGCGATCCCGCGGTACCGGGAGTCGGGGGCGACCTGCGAGCGCCCTACGGGAGGCGGGGCCGAGAGGCTGGTGGGCGGGGCCTGGCGGGGCGGAGCTGCTCCCGGCTCCTGTCCAGCTCGCCCGCCCGCCCGCCCTGACTCACCCAGCCTGTCCCGCGAACTCTGCGGGAGTCCCGGCCGCTCCGCTCCCAGAGACACAGGAGTTGGAACAAGCGTCCGGCCCGTGAGGTGAGTAGGTGGCTCTCCGCCCCCTGGGGACCAGGTGGCGGGGTGAGGATCTGGCCCACGGGAGGACCGCCCCAGGTGCGGCTGGCCCTGTGACCTGAGCCCAACGCCGTCTGGGGCACAGGAGCTGGGGGGTGGGCTGGGGGGCGTGCAGAGAGAGGCCCCGCCCTGGCCAGCCCAAGGGCGCCTGTCAGGGAGCCCGGCAGGCCTGGCCAAGGACGGAGTGAAGATCAACAGGCTGGGGTCCACCAGCGGGTCTTGACCGTGTTCCCCTCTCCGCTGCTGACGACTCAACCCTGTGAGCCCCTCAATTCCCAGAGCCCTACCACTTGGGAGCCTCACCAGGCTGTCCCTTCTGGGACTCTTGAACCTCAAGACTCCCCAGACCCCCCTAGTCCTGGCAGGACAGGTTGGAAAAGTACTGGGTTGGGAGTCCCCAGGCCTGGGGCCCAGAGCAGGATCTGCCACTATGGGGCCACCCTCCCCCTCCCCCACCCAGGCCACAGTTTCTCACTTGTGTAAAAGTCCAAAGTTGGACCCTGTGTCCTCCAAGACCCACTTCAGGGCTGACAATAGTCACTGTTTCTTCTGTGCCCCTTAGCATGGGCTGTGGGTGGGGACGGTGTGGGATGGCGCGCTGGTCCAGGAGCAGCCGCCACCGCCACGTGGTCAGAGGCAAGCTGGGGGCTTGGGGAAGGCCTGAGAGGGAAGCAGAAGCAGGGTGAGGCATGGGTGAGCGGAGCTAAGGCTGGGTTGGGGGCATGTTCCTGGCCCTAGGCTGAGGAGGACAACTCAGCCTGCTGGGCAGAGCAGCCGTCCTCCCTCCATTTCTTCTCTGCCTGAAGGAACCCCTTCTGAGGTTCTTTTGGCAAAGATGCTTCAACTCAGCGAGACGTTCTCGCTCAAAACGTGATCAGACAGATGGGACTTGGGGGACTCACCTCGAATGCCACTTGTCACAAGCTGTGACATGTTGAGCAAGTTATTTCACTCTCCTGAGTCTGGAAGAGGAGGGTCCCAACATCCACACTCCCAGAGCTGGGATAAAACGAGACACTGAAAGCATCTGGTGGTCATAAGTTCTTTGCTCCCACACCCCCATGAAGCCTTCTCCCCAAGCCCTCCCACCAGCCCTGTTCAGACACAGGGGGGCCAGCCTTGTGTCTGGGGAAACTTAATGGCAGGTTCGGGACGATCAAGATTGAGTCATGGAAACAGATAATGATAACCCCATGTCTGCTTCTGAGGCTGTTGTGCATACACTTTGCTCTGTGGGTGCATCCTCTGGGCCATCTGCTGGGGACCCTGGGTGTGTCTCTGCATTCTTGCCTTTGATTGTGGACCCGGGATGGCCAGTGGGGAGCTTCCACCATTGTGAGATGGGTCCTGAAGGGTGGCAAGGACTCGGGGGCAGGAAGTTGGTCCCTGCCCGTCTGTGTGGCATTTTTGCTAACAGTTACCATTCTCAGGTGAAGCACCCAAGCAGTGTCCCTCACAGGGGCAGGTGGCCAGGGCAGGGAGAACAGTGGGTGGCCAGAACTGGAAGAGGGCATATGGCCGGCTCCCTGGTCCTGGGTCTCTCCTCAACTTAGTGTGTACTTGCCCTTTGTACACACATACCCCGAGGTGCACACTCCAGAATGCCCCCAGGGTGTCCCTTTCGGTGGCTGCCATTTGGCTCCTGGGGGCTGTTGAGCTGCCCTGAGTGTGTTTCTAGCAGATTCCCCGGTGTTTGAGCCTGTGATGCACTGGAGGCATCTTTACTTGGCTTGTTGTTTAGGACAGGGTGTGAAACTGAGCACGAGGGATGGGCCATTGGGTGAGGGAATCCTGTGCTCTGTCTGCACACCCCCTTGCATGTGCTGGCTGCTGGGTGAGTCAGGGCCTGAGTCAGGAGGCCCCGGAGACTGGGTGTGGGCAGGCGTGTCCCTGTCCCTTACATATTATCCCTGGTACTGAGATGGGAGCCTCTGATGGGATTAAGGGGATTAAGGACTTCAGCCTGGTGGGCGGGGCCTGCATCTCATATCCCCACCCACTTTCACCTTGTCCTCACTCAGGAGTAACCCTAAGGCCTTCAAGGGTTGTGGAGACCAAAAAGGGAGGCAAGGAGGTGTCAGAGCGATTGACTGAGGTGTGGGACAGAGGCCAGTTTTCCTCCCACCCAGGAGATGGTGGGAGGCTGGAGGACCGGCTGGTGGCCCAGATGCCTCCCTTCTTTGCCCAGCCTGTGCCCAGTGACAGGCTATCAGGATGAGGACCGCAGGCCGCAGGAAACCTGCCTGATATAAAACAGGATCTTTATATTTGGGAGCATGGATGCTGGGGAGGAGGGCAGACTGCCTAGGAGCCCCCTCAGAGGCGGTGAGGGGCTTGCTGCCTCCCTTTCCTTTGCCCCTCCAGCCTCGGAGGTGGGGGAAAAGGCTCCCGACTGCCTGTCAGGGAGGGTGATGTCCCAGCCCGTGGCCCATGCCCCCGTGTGACTTGCACCTGGTTGTCTGTATCTGGAATAATGATACCTTGGTCTTAAATGAAAGCCTGGGACAGACAGAGTGGGCTGGCCGCCCAGGAGCCTGGCAGCCCAGCCCTGTCCCAGTCGTAGGTGTCACCCTGGCTCTCTCCCTGTGAGTTTTCCATTTCCTGATCCTCTGCCCCGTCCTCGAGCCCCGCTGCCCCTGCCTCTCAGAGGCCAGGTCTCTGTTTTCTGCCGCAGATCCTAGGCACTTGCCCCACTTGAAACCCAGGTGTCCTAGTCACTCCCACCCCCCAGGGCTGACCAGCCTTCAGCTTTGCCACTCCCTGCCCCTGGGGCCCGTAACCAGAGCCAGGCTCCAGCCGGCTTTTCCGGTTGGAGGTTGGAGGTGGTGCCCGGAGCACCCCTGAAGGGGGTGCGGGGCCCATGCCCCGGAAGTCTCCGAGTCTCTGGGACTCTCTCTGGTCCAGTGGTGGAGGGAGCTGGGGCTGGCCGCCTGGATACCGGGTACCTGGGGTCAGAGAAGCAGAGCGAAGTGTTTCCAATTGGCGTCAAGGGTGGGAGGAGATGCCTGGGCTCCGGGAGAAGGCCACACGGGCAAGCTGTGGGGCAGCAGCCTCGTGGACTGCCCCTCCTGAGCTCTGAGAAGGCAAGCAGAGTCCGACCGAGGCAGGGGTCCCTGGGAGCAGAGGTGGTGAGGACAGTAGTCGCCCGGCTCCAGGAAGGAGGCGAGGTCTGTGGGGGGAGGGGAAGGAAGCGCACAGCTTGTGGGTTCTGCCAGAGTTTGGCAGGGCCGAGCGCGGATTGGGAGCAGATGCGTGTGTCTGGCTCTTCTGGGGACCCGGCACCAGGCGCCCTTTCCTGAGGGTCTCTCTCTGCACCCTCCACTTCCTGCTCTCCCACAGGTGGGATGATTCCGGTGGCGGAGTTCAAGCAGTTCGCGGAGCACCAGCCCGCCTTCAAGGTGCTCAAACCTTGGTGGGACGTGCTGGCCGAGTACCTCACCGTGGCTATGCTCATGATCGGGGTCTTCGGCTGCACCCTCCAGGTAATGGGCGGGGCAGGGGCGGGGTCTCTAGGGGCGGGGTCTGGCAGGTTCCGGAAGTCTTCCTTTACTGTCTCTTAGTTCTGGAGACTGGAAGTCTGAAATCAAAGCGTTGACAGGGTTGGTTCCTTCGAAAGCTGTGAGGGAGAATGTGTTCCACGGCTCCCTTCTAGACTCTGGTGGCCTCAGGCATTCCTTGGTTTATAGATAACGTTCTCCCTGTATCAGTCAAAGCATCTTCCGTGTGTGTGTGTGTGTGTGTGTGTGTGTGTGTGTGTGTGTGTGTGTGTGTGTGTCTGTGTGTGTCTGTGTCCAGATTTCTCCCTTTTATAAGGCCAGAGTCCTGTTGGGTTAGGGCCCACCCCCAATGACCTCATCTTAACTTGATTACATCTGCTCTGCAAAGACTAATTTCAAACAAGGCAACATTCACAGGTATTTGGGGGTTAGGACTTCGACATCTTTTCGAAGGACACAAATCAACCCAGCTCTTTTTTTCAGACAAAGTCCGATGCTCAGAGGTTTATTGACTCTTCCAAAGCTGGGGAACAAACTGGGGACAGTTGGGGGTTAATGGAAACCTCTCTTGCCTTCGGCCTGCTTCCTCCCTGACCCCACAACTTCCCAGGCCGCCCCAGATCCTTCACCATCTCTCACCCTCTCTCCCATCCCCAGGTGACACAGGACAAGATCATCTGTCTGCCCAGTCATGAACCCCGGGAGAACTTATCAGAGGCCCCGTGCCAGCAGCTGCTGCCGCGGGGTGTCTCTGAGCACGTGGGGGACCTCCGGGAGTTCAGCGGCCTCAGGAACAACCTGGACCTGCAGCAATACAGCTTCATTAACCAGCTTTGCTACGAGACGGCCCTCCACTGGTACGCCAAGTACTTCCCATACCTGGTCGTCATCCACACGCTCAACTTCATGGTCTGCACCAGCTTCTGGTTCAAGTTCCCCAGCACCAGCTCCAAGATCGAGCACTTCATCTCCATCCTGGGCAAGTGTTTCGACTCTCCGTGGACCACGCGGGCCCTATCCGAGGTCTCCGGGGAGAACCACAAGGACCCTGCCGCCGCCGGGCGGGCAGTGGTGACCGTGGCAGCAACGGCGGCAGGACCGGGGAAGGCAGGTGAGGGTGAGAAGGAGAAGCTGCTGGCGGAGCCCGAGAAGGTGGTGATGGAGCCGCCGGCCGCCACCCTGCTGGACAAAAAGGAGGGTGAGCAGGCCAAAGCCCTGTTTGAGAAGGTCAAGAAATTCCGCGTGCACGTGGAAGAGGGGGACATCCTGTACACCATGTACATCCGGCAGACGGTGCTCAAGGTCTGCAAGTTCTTGGCCATCCTGGTCTACAACCTCATCTACGTGGGGAAGATCAGCTTCCTGGTGGCCTGTAGGGTGGAGACCTCGGAGGTCACGGGCTATGCCAGCTTCTGCTGCAGCCACACCAAGGCCCACCTCTTCTCCAAGCTGGCTTTCTGCTACATCTCCTTCATGTGCGTCTACGGGATCACCTGCTTTTACACACTCTGCTGGCTCTTCCACCGGCCCCTCAAGGAGTACTCCTTCCGGTCCGTGCGGGAGGAGACGGGCATGGGCGACATCCCCGACGTCAAGAACGACTTTGCCTTCATGCTGCACCTCATCGACCAGTACGACTCACTCTACTCCAAGCGCTTTGCTGTCTTCCTCTCCGAGGTCAGCGAGAGCCGCCTGAAGCAGCTCAACCTCAACCATGAGTGGACGAGCGAGAAGCTGCGGCAGAAGCTGCAGCGCAACGCCTGCGGCCGGCTCGAGCTGGCCCTCTGCATGCTCCCGGGGCTGCCCGACACGGTCTTCGAGCTCAGCGAGGTGGAGGCCCTGCGGCTGGAGGCCATCTGTGACATCACCTTCCCCCCAGGCCTCTCGCAGCTGGTGCACCTGCAGGAGATCAGCCTGCTCCACTCTCCGGCCAGGCTGCCCTTCTCCTCGCAGATCTTCCTGCGGGACCACCTGAAGGTCATCCGGGTCAAGTGCGAGGAGCTCCGAGAGGTGCCCCTCTGGGTGTTCGGGCTGCGCAGCCTGGAGGAGCTGCACCTGGAGGGGGTCTTCCCCCAGGAGCTGGCCCGGGCAGCGACCCTCGAGAGCCTCCGGGAGCTGAAGCAGCTGAAGGTGCTGTCCCTGCGGAGCAACGCCGGCAAGGTGCCCGCCAGCGTGACCGACGTGGCCGGTCACCTGCAGCGGCTCAGCCTGCACAACGACGGGGCCCGCCTGCTGGCACTGAACAGCCTCAAGAAGCTGGCGGTGCTTCGGGAGCTGGAGCTGGTGGCCTGCGGGCTGGAGCGCATCCCCCACGCCGTCTTCAGCCTGGGCGCACTGCAGGAACTGGACCTCAAGGACAACCACCTGCGGTCCATCGAGGAGATCCTCAGCTTCCAGCACTGCCGCAAGCTGGTCACACTCCGGCTGTGGCACAACCAGATCGCCTATGTCCCCGAGCACGTACGGAAGCTCCGGGGCCTTGAGCAGCTGTATCTCAGTCACAACAAGCTGGAGACACTGCCCACCCAGCTCGGCATGTGCTCTGGCCTCCGCCTGCTGGACGTCTCCCATAACGGGCTGCACTCCCTGCCGGCCGAGCTGGGCCTCCTCCAGAACCTGCAGCACCTGGCTGTCTCCTACAACGCCCTGGAGCTTCTGCCCGATGAGCTTTTCTTCTGCTGCAAGCTGCGGACGCTGCTCCTCGGCTACAACAACCTGAGCCAGCTCTCGCCCCAGGTTGGGGCCCTCGGGGCCCTCAGCCGCCTGGAGCTCAAGGGCAACCGGCTGGAGGCGCTGCCAGAAGAACTCGGCAACTGTGGGGGACTGAAGAAGTCGGGGCTCCTGGTGGAGGACACCCTTTACGAAGGGCTGCCGGCAGAGGTGCGGGACAGGATGGAGATGGAGTGAAGCCAGGGAGGGGCAGGTTGCGGTAGAGGCCTTCCTGATGCTACCACCCTGGAATCTCTACTGTTATCTTCAAGGGAGGGGGCCAAGTGAGCCCAGGCCAGGACAGGAGGAGCAGACGTGCCAGGCTGGTGGAGCCCAGGCAAGATCCTGGGACTGGTTTGCCTGGGAGGCTGTGGATCTAGGCTGGAACATCCTGGAGGGATTAACTCAGTCATAAGACTCTCAGAGCAAAACCACACCTGTGTCTTTGGCTAGCTGGCCTGCCCCCAGCCCTGGGCCAGAGCTGCTGCTCCCCCAACCCACTCCGAACATTCTGGCTCAATCAATGCCACATATGGGGGTGGGGCTCATCCCAATGGGATTTCAACCCTCTCTTCCTGACCAAAACAGCTTACATCTGGGGTTCTCTCCCAAGGAGGGGACACAGACGCAACGGACAAGCTCCCCCCTCCTCCACCCCCAACTTGGATGTTAATCCCCTATTTTTTTTTCATTTATTTTATTTTTTTGGCGGTACGCGGGCCTCTCACTGTTGTGGCCTCTCCCATTGCAGAGCACAGGCTCCGGACACGCAGGCTCAGCGGCTATGGCTCACGGGCCCAGCCGCTCCGCGGCATGTGGGATCTTCCCGGACCAGGGCACGAACCCGTGTCTCCTGCATCGGCAGGCGGACTCCCAACCACTGCGCCACCAGGGAAGCCCAATCCCCTATTTATAAGTTGTTTGCTATGGACACCTGAACTCAGAAAAAATGGTTTTCATATTTGGCTAGGCATCAAAATCAACATCACCAAAACAAAACATCCCAGGCCCCACCCCTGAAAGACTGACTCAGGAGCTTTGCCCGGAGGCCAGGAACTTGCCGGTAAATACAAGCATACCAGGTAATTCTGACAAAGACAGCCCCAGGCCTGTGTGTTGGGAAATGCTGACCTAGAGAGTCAGACATCTGGGTGTCTAGAGCAGGGATTCTGAACTTTTTTTTAGATCCCTAGATGCTTTGAGAAATCTGATGAAAGCTGGGCACCTCCTTCCTCAGGAAAATGCTCACGTACACATACATGAAAAGTTCTGCAAACAGCTTGAGGCAATGAACAGATTCCCCCAGATCCCCTAGAGGGCTGTTTATGGACATCCTAAGGATCGGAGACCCCAGGTTAAGAACACCTGCTGTGGAGGGTACATTTTTCTGAAGACAGGCTGGGACTTTGTCTTTCACATGTTCCCTATGCGAGAGAGTGTATATCAGTGGGTGCTTAATAAATGATACTATGAGAACTACAATCTTGATCCTTGTGTCCACTCCTGTCATAGTCTAAGCCTTCGATTCCACCAGACCAAGTCCAGGCAAGTGGCAACAGTCACATTCCAGAATCAACGGTATGAGTGTATCCCGGAAGCAGAGGCAGAGAGAGACCTCAGCTAACCAGGAGAAATCAGGTGGCATCGTCTGCCTAGGTTTTTTCCTGGAGAACTGTTCTTCCTCTACCTTCCCTGTTAGTCTCCCGGCTCCACAGTTTTGGATCTGCTCCACCTGTAAGTTGTCACCAGAGGAGTCGCCACAAGCCTTCAATGCCCATCACAGTGTCCCTGTGCTGGAGCAGGCAGGGCACAGCCTGCCCAACCCTGACCTCCTGGGATCACCACCTCCATGGTGTCTGCAAAATGTGAGCCTCCTCCTGGCACCAGAGAGCAGAGGCAAGGAAGGTGCTCTCCGGGGGCCCCAGGGTTCCAGGTGGGGACATTTTCCCAGCACTCTTCAGACCAGCTAAAGAAAATGTGTAGGCCGCGGAGGCGCCAGGTAGAGGCACCAAACCCCGGGGCCTATCTTCTGCGTTGTCCAGGAGCTGGGCGCAAATTCTGGGGGCAGGGCAGTTGAGGGAAGTCTTAAAATGTCCCACGCAAGTCTGATTTGGAACTCTCGGACCGTGACCTTGGCCCCCCCCCCCCCCCCC